GGACATTCCACACGCGAAGTGTTTAATGTTATATGCATTCATATCGGACACTATGTCTCGATATATAAACATCCATCAATCAGCTCGGCCAGTAGCGGGTGACATAAAATGGAGGCACATTCGTACACAAATATTTATTATTATATGGGACTTGCGGATCTATCATTCTGCTTAACCTTACGTGATCTCGAAGATGTTTGTAGTCGTCGAGGCAATGGTTCCCAGCCAATTTTAAGCCATGACCCTCTTTGATATTTCCAAAATTCTGGTGCCCCTGTAATACATTCTTACATATTTAAAATTTTACTGCAATTCACGTGGAGGATGCTTAAAAGGTCATTAACTTAGTCTCTAAACAAGCCTCCAAATAACATGGCGTCCATGAAAGAGCAGTTATATATAGATGTATATAGGAGGAGTAATGGATATCGGCTTGGATTGAGGAATCGCAGAGCCGAGTTCGAATCCAGGTTGAATCCATTACATTCACTTACGTGTGATACCCTTGGGAAAGGTGTGAATCCTCTTCTTCTCCCTCCAGCTATGGGTAAAATAGCAGGACAGACAGGGTTCTATAGCCTTGGATGGCAACTGGTCTAGGAGAAGGACAACTCTGAATTCAAAACCTGCGGAGGGTCGATTGGGGACCTTGTGGCACGTAGTGCACCAGGTCTCTGTATTCGGCCCTTCAAAAAGTGTGGATGGTCCTGCACAAAACCTTCACCACTATAATCAAATCTCATGTGCCGTTGTCAGGCTGTCGGTTTCCTAAGAACTGATCTGCTTGGCCCTCATACGTCGAATTCGACGGGAGAATCGATTTTCATATATATATATATATATATATATATATATATATATATATATATTCAAAACATATAATAAAGAACTGAAGGACAGAAATATAAAATATTTTAATGAAAGCTTATTCTGTAATATACTTTGATCATTTTAATCATGAAATAATGATGCAAAATGAAATTTGAGCTCATGTTGGTACAGCAAGCCGAAGGTTACACATTGTACGCAAGCCCCACCAAAAAATTAACTTGCCACACCAGTGGGAGCATGAGCCCAACATTGGGAATCATTGTTCAAAAGCGACTAAAGTCGATAATATTTAAAATACATGGTCATCAAATAAATTTCTGGCATGTGTTGTCATTATTTATAAGCAGACCTGGTGAAGGCCGGAGGACACGATTGCCGAAATTTTGGGTTAATATCGATAAAGGTGAGGATAACACTTCACAAGTAAATGATAAATGATAAATGTTAACAAATAAATGATATTCGCTCTTCAAATATTTGACGCCTGGTCACCTGAAATTCTTCCTACTCACTGTCCTACCGCCTTAATCTGAGAAGAGAAGAATTTTAGTCACGCTTTGATATCAGTAATACAGACTGAGAGAATACATTATTTAGAAGGAAAAAAAAACAATCTCTAATACTACTACTAGTACTTGGTCTATTTTCGATTTTTGTCGACGTGCAGCCGGTCACTCCAGACCCCGCTTGTTTCGATATCTCAATCTTTGCACCGGCTATGGGATAAGGAGTTATACAGCTTCCAAGTTGGTCTAGGGATTGGTGCCAATATAAAGTCGTCAATCGTCCGGTCTTGGTTCTTCAAGAATTGCGATTCTTACTGACGAAGAAAATCGTCTTTCATCTTTTAGTAAATAAGCCGTGGTAAAGTTCTTGTTGGCGACTGGGCTGACTGGAAATAAAGGCAAGCTCTCATCGAGGAAATAATGATGCCAGTTTTGGTTAAATACAGACGATTTAATAAAGGTGAATAAGATAATTTACAATCGAATATATTCGTCATCAATCACCACAAAAATATTAATAGGCGGCGACTTGGAATCACGATCTGTGAATTCAGCAAGGTTCAATCAGAAATTCATTTGAATATTGAGTCTTTTACTCGTGCGGGTGTGCAATTGCGTGTGTGTCTGACGACCCATTTGTATCTGGCGTCCCACCCTGTTTCTACTGTATTTTCAAAATCGAGCTGAATTTATAAAAAAATTTCCGCCCACAAATCAAACCTTTCACACACCAAAATAACTTAATTTTTCATTGTTTAAAGTTAGGGTTAAAAAACAAAATTCTATGTTTTGATTTTACATCACTTCATTCAGAACCATTGCTCCAAAACCCAAAACATATTCGCCTGGCATATCCGTCAGAAAGGAAGTCAAGGTCATATGCTCTGACCTATCCAATTCTGGCCTCTAGACAAATATTCCTGCTTGTAAATATTGATAAGGACTAGAATAACATACACCAATCCATTCCAAATCGTCGCATTGAAATTTAAAATACAGAATATCCGCCAATAACAATTTACCTTGTTATACTTTCGCGCAAAGTAACCCCTCCGTCTTAGTGGTATTGTTTTCTTGCTTGGGGTGAAAATTATCGAATTCTATTTAAGTTCACTCGGAATTTGTAGCCCTCAATATTCCTCTGAAGAGTAGAAATACATGCTGGAGAAGTTTAACCTTCTCCAAGACCTAATTATTTCAACACGAAACAAAAGGGTTCAAAATATTTCAATATTTAGAAGAGTTGACCATTCTGTCAAACCCAAAGAAACAAAATATATCAACTCAATCAGGACTACAATTGAAAATAATTCATGTAAGCTTGACATGAAAACTGTTACAACTATGTCTAAACAATAAGAGACTTAGTTAATACAAAAAACTATTAGGCTAAACTTGCAGGTGGAAGTTCCTATATAACCTGTAATGATTGCCACAAATAATGCATAGGGGAAACTTCGAGAAATTTAAATAAAAGATAAAATTGACCTTTTAAATTGCTCCCCATGATGAATCTGGCAATATGTTTGATTTTTAAAATAATAAATTAATTAAAAGAGAAAGTATTTAATGAGAACAATAATGTATAAAATATTAAATAATAATGGTTTTCTTCTATGTGCCATGTCCTTTAAGAACGTTGGCGATCATGGCTCTCCACATTTTCCTGTCCTTTATAACTTTTTTCTCTTCTCCCTAAACCATGCTCCACGACCCAGTTACTCAAGTTCACCAGGTAGATTATGCGTTGTTTTCGTCTCTCCCTCTTGCCGAAGATCTGTCCACAGAGTATCAAGTTTTCCAAGCACTCTTTTCTCTTTGTGTGCTCTGGAAGTTTCAACTGTTTCTTACTTATGATCAGTATAAATGTGCATTTTGTTTCCCATTTTTTTCTAAAACTTTATCGTCGCTTTCATGTTTGCTCCATTGTATTCTCAGCCTCTCTCTTCATCTGTGAGGAGATTGGTTAGAATCCACTGCCATATAGGAGGACTGATATTACATAACAGTTCATGACTTTTTCCTTTGTAGATGCCCATTTTTGTTGCGTCAAGTCTCTTCTCCATCTTTAAGGAGATTCCCCAGTATTCACTGCAATATAGAAGGACAGATATTGCATAACAGTTCAGGACACTTTTCTTTGTAGAAAGATATTTCTATTGCTTCAAGTCTTTTCTTCCCCTGTGAGGAAATTGTCCAGCATTCACTGCCATATAGGAGGACTGATATTAGGACTCTTTTCTTTGTAGAAGCAGATTTCTGTTGCTTCAAGTCTCTTCATCTGTGAGGAGATTGTCCAGCATTCACTGCCATATAGGAGGACTGATATTACATGACAGTTCAGGACTCTTTTCTTTGTAGAAACACATTTCTATTGCTTCAAGTCTCTTCTTCATCTGTGAGATTGTCCAGTATTCACTGCCATATATGAGATTTGGTATTACATAACAGTTCAGGACGCTTTTCTTTATAGAAACACATTTCTTTTGCTTCAAGTCTCTTCTTCATCTGTGAGGAGATTGACCAGCATTCCCTGCCATATAGGAGGATTGATATTACACAGCAGTTCAGGACACTTTTCTTTGTAGAAGCAAATTTCTTCTGTCTTTTTCGTTGTTTCTCTTTTTACTTACTTTCTTTTGTTTCTTTCCTTTCTTTTTCCTTTTTTCAATTATTTTCTTTAATTTCTTTCCATCTTTCGTTCTTTCTTACAATTTCTTTCTTTCCTTCTTATTCAGTCTTTCTTTCTTTTTCTTTTTTCCTTTCTCAACTTTCTTCTTTCTTTTTCTTTCTTTTCTTTCTTTCTTTTATTTTCTCTTTTTCTTTTCTTTCTTTTTCTTTCTTTTTTTTCTTTCTTTTCTTCCTTTTTTGTTTTCGTTTTATTCTTTTTTCCCTTTTCCCCAGACTGACATCGTTGATTAATGTTCAAACGGTGAAAGCCAGAATTCATTCCTTCTTTATTAAAATCCGAATGCGTTCTTTTCACTTGACTCAATTGGACTGTATAACTTTTCCAGACAGGATTTTTTCTCAAGCGCCTTTCAGTTAATTTTCTACTTTTTACGCGATTGTCAAAAAATGCTCGACTTTAGTTTTCGCAAAATTGGAATTTTGTTCACGAAAAATGAAAAGATATTAAGGTTTAACAAAATGGAGCCAACGGGAATTTTCAACGCTTATTTTAAATTTATTTCCCGAAAACTGTCTCTCTCTCTCTCTCTTACACACACACACACACACACATACATACATACACACACACACACACACATATATATATATACATATATTTATTTATTTATTTATTCATTTCACTTTGAGATTTTCATTAATATCGCAGCAAATTCCCTCACTTTTTCTTTTTACCTTGCTGTTGATCTGTCTGGAGTAATGACGTCAGCTGACGCTGACATCAACCGGAACAAACATAATTAACTCTACTTCCGGCGATTCTGCGCACTGCAGACTCCTTTTTAGTGTTTCGGCTAAGAATAAGCGCAGTGACAAAGCAACGGGTAGTCGACTTCAAGAAAGACATTGTGAATGGGAAAAAAAGGTATTTCATCGAACAAGGCTTCGATGACATTTCTTCATTCAGGAAATCACCTACCGTCTATCCCGGACAAATAACTACACATATTTTTCGTTATTATAAATGATGTTATGTCAGCACGATTCTTTCTTTCTTTCTTTCTTTCTTTCTTTCTTTCTTTCTGTTTTATTATTTCTTTTTTACTTTCTTTCTCTTTGCTTTTTTCTTTTTATTTTTTTCTTTACTTTTTCTTTCGTTTCTCCTTTTTCTTTTCTTTCTTTCATTTTCTTTTTTTCCATTCTTTCTTTTTTTCTTTGTTTCTTTACTTTCCTTTTTCTTTATTTTTCTTTCATTTTTCTTTTCTTTATTTCCTTTTTCCTGTCTTTCTTCCATTATTTTATTCTTTCTTTAATTTTCTTTCTTTCTTTCTTTCTTTTTTTCTTTCTTTCTTTCTTTCTTTCTTAGCTTCTGCCTTTTCTCATCCGTTGCCTCTTTCTTTCTTTCTTTCTTTCTTTCTTTCTTTCTTATTCATTCTTTCTTCTTTCTTTCTTTTTCTTTGTTTCTTTTCTTTACTTTCTTACTTTTTT